TTACTGCGCCTGCCAGCACTTTCAGACCCTGCAGCACGTGCGTGTCGTGTTCGGGGGGGTTTTTTCCCCGCCGCGTGCCTAGTAGTAGTAGTAGTAGTAGTAGTAGTAGTAGTAGAATAGTAGTAGTAGTACCACCATCCCAAGTTGCTGGCCTCATCGATGCGGACCGCAGCATAGAAAGCTGGATAAGCCGTAGCGCAAAGTTCGTGCACCCAGGGCCTTGGCCGGCAAGGAGCCGCAGGAGCCCTTCATCTGGGCTGCTGTTAAGGAGCCGAATTTAAGGTACTACATTTGAGAAATCCTGTTACTTACTAGATATACTCATGATGGCAACTTATTTTTGATTAAGTTACCAAAGTATGGGTCTGTAGTTGATATAGGGGTTTCTTATTATAGTAACTTAGCTTAAGTTCCTTAACAGCAAGCCAGCCATTGCAAGCAACATCGAACTTGCCTGGAAAAACTTGGATCATCCTGCAGGTTCTGGCCTTAGATGACACAAGGCCTAAATTGTTATGATACGGGGTCTAGAGTCTAGAGGATGAGAAAGGCATTGGAAGTCTGACAGGGCACTTCCCCTCGGGCTCCAACGCAGTTCCCGCAGGAAGTCATTCCACTTGAGGCCGCTTGGCCCTAATCCCTAGCGCGTGGCTTTGCAAAGGACAGCAAAGGTAAGAGCAAACTTCTACCTAGGCAACATGCATGGTATACATACAGGGTTGACTCATGATTGGGATGCGGGCTCTCCGCTGAATAGCCTCACAATTGCACTCATCAGCCGGAATCGTATCATCCAGCACGGCATCTTTCTCCTAACAAGCTTTCGAAGCCCTTTTCAGACAGCAACCCATAGGAATCTTGCAGCTCAGGATCCCAAATGCCACCAAATTTTGCTGGACTGGAATACCTGCATAGAAAGTGCCGCAGGCCGCGTCATGCTCGCAGGGCATGCTGCAAGTTGCGACCAAGAGGCACATATGCGGCAGTGCTGAGATGCATTGGCGCTGCGGCAAGACCAGATGTTCATCAGTTCAGGCTTGAACTGCCGAGCTTCTTGTTGAAAGTAGACTCGTGATGAAGGTTGTATTCTTGACTCTGACTGCACTTGGCCCGTGTCACTGGGCAGAATCTTGAGCCAGGCTGCGGGTTCATGCTTCAAGGGACTCCCATCAGGATGTTTGACAAGGACAGTCTGCCTTCCATCGTTGCAAGATCCCCGTTTTCCAAAGATACCCTGGCAGTCAAGCACGGTTTGATCTCTGCATTCGGGGGTATAGTCCCCCTTAAGTAGATAGAATATGGGGTATAATGGGGATCTTATTATAATATACCTAAAGCTATATTCTATCGACTTAAGGGGGACCATAATGCTCGGGAGGCTTTTGGCTGAGTCAGCGGCTTTGTCTTCTGCAGCGGGTTATCATTGGGACGAAGTAAGAAGCTGCGAGTCTCAGCCGCACATGGACTCTTACAGCCGTTGCCATCCATACGTGCTTGCAACTGCTGGTCAACATTTGGCATTGGCACTGTCTTGGCTTCCAACAGCACCCAGGGACAAGGAGATGATGAGCGCATCTGAATGCTTTGCATTGAAGTATGGCCTCAGCCAGGCAGTCTACAGTCTAAGCTCATGGGATCTACTGAGCAACCCCGAAAGTAGTCCCCTATATTAACCCCTACATAACCCACCTTTCAGGAGTTAAGACCCTAAACCCTCTTTGAAAAAGCCTTAACCCTAAACCCTAAATAAAGGGATGTTATACAATCCCCTCTTTTCGCCCCCTTTCAGGAGTTTAGACTATAGCTCATGTAACCCTAATATATACCCTAGAATCCCTATATTCCTCCCCTATATAACCCCCCTTTTAAGGAGTTTAGACTATAGCTCAGGTGATCTTCGCGCAACTCCGACGGGCCCGATATCGAGGCCAAGTTGCTCATCGTCCGAATGCCAACCCACAGAGTCGCCCCCGTCCTTGAAAGACTGGATTCAGGCTTTAGGGTTTGGGGTTTAGGGTTTAGGATTCAGGCTTTAGGGTTTAGGGTTTAGGATTCAGGCTTCAGGGTTTAGGGTTTGGGGTTTAGGGTTTGGGGTTCAGGATTCAGGCTTTAGGGTTTAGGGTTGGGGGTTCAGGGTTTAGACACGCGCATCGCTCACAGCAGGCACGGCAACGACTGTCTGTTCGGGTCAGCTCCAGCACATTGACTGGGGGCGGTTCAGGGTTTAGGATTCAGGGTTTAGGGTCTACGGTTGGGGGTTTAGACACGCGCATCGCACAAGGCAGGCACGGCAAGAACTGTCCGGTCCGGGATCTCACTTTGGAGCGAGTCAGCTACGTTCTACCAGCAACACTAGCTTCATTCGTGCTGACTAAGCAATGAAAACTTCTTTCAGTAGCAAACATGCAGCGAGGAGTACAAACAGAACTTCTCGAATTAGCCACCTGATATCAACGTTTAGGGTTTTGGCTCTTAATCTGGATTGCTGTTAAGGAACTTAAATTGAGTAACTACACTGCGGTTTACGTACGTCTTTCCCTCTATAGTGGAGAATCAGATGGAACAGAAAATGGAAAATGAAATGGAAACTCAAAAAATGTAGGGATTTAAGGAAATTAAGCTACTATAATGTGTATATGAAAACAATTAATGGGGTTTCCCCAATAAAGTAACCTAAATTAAGTTCCCTAACAGCAACCCAGAAAAGGGAAGGGATCGGGATCGGAACTGCATGAACTTAGCTGGGTCCGCAAAACCCAGCCTCTTTACGGTTTTAAATCCGTATGTAGCGCATGACGTTAACATCCCCTCGGAGCCATGCGCATATTTCAGGGAACCGAAGCCCGAAGCCTCGTACAGGTTTGCATTGCACGAGTTGGGACGCTCCGGAACTTCGCAGGCACGGCAAACCTGTTCAAAGGAACATGTGATGCGCAAATGCGGCAGAAAGCAGTTATAGCAACCACAGGAACTTAGTCCGGAATTGCAGCTATGCTACTTGCACTGCTGCAAGCAACGAGCACCAAGAGTTTGCTTCATGATTCATTGTATTAGATGATGCTGCTCAGCCGTCAAACACACGACATACGCCTCATCAGTCAACTCGACGAACCAGGGTGGCATCACCATGTTTGGCCATGAAGTACCACTGTACCGGTACCTGCAGCCCGGTCTGTCCACACAATGTTTGAGTGATGCGACAGCAAGACTGGCAGCAACAATGCTCGCAGGATTCACGTGATCAAGAAAAGAATGCTCAATGCTAACGACAAGAAAGCTATTAGCACAACAAATGTCACAGCATTCGTAAGTGTGGTGTAAGCAATGGCCATTCTGACAAAATCGCAAGCTTCTTGGTCCGGGACGTGCACGTGCAGCCCGCCGTCTCAGTACAGTTTAGGCATGTGGTTCCTGTTGGTGTTATTATCGATCCGGATTATTCTCGTTTTAGTCTGTAACTATCGTTGTGATGCAGCTTCGCTGTCGCAGGGGTTGTCATCCTGTCATGGATGCAGTGACGAAACCAGAGCAACATCAATGCATGCAACAAGTCTGAGACATCAAACTTTTCTAGGCCTAGGCAACTATGTTAGCTTCTAGGCACCAGGTGGGCGCTAGCTGACCGCTCAGTGTTTAGCACGCCCTCGACACGCTTGGAGACTGACACTTGTCTGGCCCAATCTGCCTGCCAATTTGCCCCGGTGAGTGACTAACAGCTTGGCATCGGACTGTCAGCCAACAAGCACTCCGAGGCAGCAATTTTCCATGCACCTGTCCAAGCACAACTTGTGCTGCTTTGCGGCAATAATTCAAGAAGTTGATTTCATGAAATTGAATGATAATATCTGACCTCTAAGCCCTCCCCCTCTTGTGAGAATGGTGAAACATGCACGGTCTTCCCCACCTGGGGTCGCTCCCAGTTCAGCTCATTCAAGAGCCTGTCGAACCTCAGCTAAGAGAAGCTTGCAGAAGGTAGCTGGCGGGAAATCCAGCAGCTCCCACTTGATGATCACTCGAGGGCTGTGAAGTTCACGGAAGCCATCTCAAACACACCATTTTTCAATCCGCTTTGCCATTCCTCTGGCAACTCTACTTGGCCGCATCCTATTGGGAGGTGTTTGTGCTGTTTGCCTCCACATCCTCTGCAAGATTGAAGGGAAGGAAAGGCACATAGCTGGCTGCATCCTTCACCGTGTCCACGATCGTATCCAGCAAACCCTCGCCCTGCTCGCCTTCGCTTGTCGAAGCTGTTGCTGCAGGCGTCGAAGGCGTTGCAGACGTTGGGGTGGCTGCATGGGCTGAGGACTGCGGGGCAGCATTGGACGTCTTGGCTTCTGCCTGAGCTGCCTTGGCTGCCTCTGCGACCTTTGCGGCTGCTTCGGCTGCCTTTGACGTGCCACTTGCGCTCGCAGGTTTTGCAGCCTGTGAAGCAGGGCTTGCAGAACTAGCCCCAGCTGCTGTCTTTGCATCTTGACTCGTAGAGGCAGAGGCGGAGGATTTTTGGTCGCCGCTGTCAACTGCCGAAGCAGGGCCATCAACGCCCCCTCCCGCGCTGCCTCCTGCGCTTCCTGAGACGCTTTTTGCTGCGGTCCCTGCTGCGCTTTTTGCTGAGCTCCCCGCCGCGCTTCCTGCTGCGCTTTTAGCTGCGCTACCTGCTGCTGTGCCCCCTTCCAGTCCTGCACGCTGTGCCATGGTAGCTGGCGCTGGGGCTGGTGAGGCCACGGGCATGGAGGCTGCGGGTGACGAGGCCATGGGAGCCGAGGTTGGCTGAGCAATGGAGGCCGGAGCAGCGATGCGAGAGGCCTTTGCTGCAGTTACTGGTGCTGGGGCAGCTGCCGGCTTTGCCGGCTTTGGCAAGACGAGTGGCTTGAGCAGCGAGTCTGATCCACCTCCTGCTTCGGGGCTTGGCGCGGTTGATGCTCCTTGCCCTGCCGGCGGCATGCGCACAGGAACGGGGACTTGCACCTCAGCACAGCTCAATTTGACGAAACAGGATGACAAGCTTCCAAGCCAGCTGCTGTCACATGTTCAGCAAGGCTTCGGCTGGATTAAAATTATCAAACACTGACAAACCTGGTGTGCTGTGCTGCCATGCGGCTGGCGGTGTCGGCGTAACTGGCGGTGTAGGCACGTCCGGAGTGGCCAGCGCTTGGGCTGCTACCGGAGCAGCTGCTGCCGGCACTGGTGGTGCTTCCAGTGGCGGTGTAGGTGGTGCAGGTGATGTGGGAGGTGTTGGTATTGTTGGTGTAGGTGATTTGGCAGCCGGTGTCTGAGTAGCCTCTGCCTTTGGAGGTTCAGGAGCTGCCGGCTGCGCTGCCTTTTCTTCTGCAGACATTGGGGTTGCAACGGCCGCCTTCGAACCTGGCTGGTACTTGTACTTCAAGACCTGCACAGGGACGTGAATAAGCATGACTAGATAGGCTGGGGAGCAGCAAAGCGACAGTAACAGTCCACGAGTCTCTTTAAACAAGCACATTTGAAGCCGTTCTTGACCTTGCCGTCTTTGTCGTGCTCGTGAATGTGGATCACAATGTGTGAACCATCCTTTGTCACTGCAGCAACGGCAGCACCGGCTGCGGCAGCCTCTTCAACGGACTTCCCGTCCCTGATTGCATTCGCAGAGGCTGTGGCAGCGGCCTCTGCGGCTGCAGGGGTCAAGCCTGCTTCAATGGCCTTGGCCGCAGCTTCGCTGGCCACCAAAGAAGCCTTCCTGGAGTATCCTGCCTCCAACGTGCGGAGCGCATTGATCCGCGCTATCTTGGCAGCAGCTGGCGTGTAACCGTTGAGCAAGGCTTTCTCGTAGATTGCTGTGGCTTGGCCGTGGTTCACAGCTGTGTGGAAGGGCAGCCCCTCAGTGAAGCCTTTCAGAGCTTCAAGAGCCCCGGCATCTGCTGCCGCTGCTGGGAGCCCAAGCTCAAGGAGCTGCAGCGTGGCATTGGCCATGAACATGGTCTGCTCCTCGCTGTGCCCTTCTTCCATGGACTTCAACACTGTCTTTACACAGTGCTGATGCTGGTCGTCCACCTTAACCATTTTCGAACAGATCTCCTCTGCTCTTGCTTGGTCTGCAGCCATGGGGGCCGCAGCAAATACTGGCGCAGGCGCTGGTGCCGCCGCCAACTCTTGGGGCGGAGCATGCGTTGGTGTTGGGATGATGGCAAGGGGGACGAGTGGCATCTGCATGGGATACATTGGCATCCAAGGATTCGGAGCGACTCCCATCGGCATGGACACCATCACTGTTGGCCCTGGAGGGCCAGGCGGGCCAGGTGGGCCATCTGGGCCGTCAGGCCCTGCATCCCCAGCGGGCCCCACATCGCCCGGATCTCCCGGTGGCCCAGGCGGTCCCAGTGGCGAACTTGCCAGACTCGGAGAGGCAGCCAAGGCAGGAGCTGGAGCTGGAGCTGGTGCCTGACAGCTTGGGATACTTTGCCTAAGCACCTCGAACTTAAAAGCAGATTCCCAGGCCTGCGTCAAGCCTAACATGGCGCTACCACGCAGCTGGCCACTGGCATCTCCCACGTGGTGGTTGACAGAAAGCACCTGGAGCCATTGGCCCAGGAGCAGCGCCCCAGCGAGCTGGGCACGGCACTTCATTGCTAGAGCCCTTAGTCTCTACCTGGTTCCATGGTTGAGCCCAGTGGCTCCTGTGTCATGCCCAGCATTTGAAACAATCTGCAGCAAAGTCTGGGAGATCGGGGGTACGGGGCACATGAAACAGAACGCAAAGAAGGTGCTGCTGCTGTAGTCGCTGGCCATGCCCGCAGCTGCTCCTCCTTGAAGGCCCCGCTCCTGGCACAGTGAAGTCTGACTTGGATTGGGTGACTTGTGCTTTGATAAACTTTACCAACAATCAGTTGAAGTAGACCCCACATATTTATCCAATTTGAGAAAAAGAATGCGGGTTTGGCGCTTAGGGTCTGGAGGCAAGCCAACCCCTTGAGCTCTCGGACTCCTTCTCTCTATATACGCGCGAGAGCACAGGGACATGAAAGGTAGCAGTAAATCAATGCCTCTTTTGCATCCATGCAGCATCGCTAGCTGGTGAACCAGTCAGACATGTCAAACGACCAGCCGTTTCAGGATCAATCCAACTTTTCCGGCCCCTAGAACAACAACAGAGGCAGATGCAAGCAGCCCTGCCAGGAACAGACTGGAGCAAGACACTCCTGCCAAAACGGCTGTATCAACAAAGCTCATCTTGGCAGCCAGCGGATCATTGACATAACGAACGAAGATGTTCCTCACGTGCTTCTCTGAGCCTCCATAAGATGCCTGCTGAAGCCGGACAGCAGCCGCAAGGGTCTCCTCACTTGGGCCCGATGCCAAGTCCGCAAGCAGAGGCGGAAGAACTGCTGTGGGCTCCGGTCGCACGAAGCCATACCGCGCGTTTGGGTTCAGTGCGTCATCGCAATGGAAGCTGCCACGGAAGCTGCAGCAATTGACACCATACGCATACAAGCTCACGGGAGTCTGCGGTTTCATGGATGCATCTACGATCGGGGCTACACATATCAGGGCAGCGTCAGCTGCAGACTGGAAGCCGACAGATCGGCTGGCATCCACACCGCTGCCAACTGCAAAGTTGACAACGCCAGCATCCTTACAAGCGCTGCCAAAAGAATCCAAGCAGCAGCAGCAGCAGAGGCAGCAGCAGCAGCAGCGGCAGCAGCTGGGGGCAGCGGCAGGGGCAGGGGCAGGGGCAGCGGCAGGGGCAGGGGCAGCGGCAGCGGCAGCAGGTGGTGGTGAACTGCAACTACAAACCCTTCCAACTCGGACCCAGGGTCGAGAATGGTCTCTGCTGGCTGCGAGGGAACGACACTTCTGTAGGTTGCAGCTCCGGTGTAATGGTAGTAGAAGACGGAACTCTTGAAGTAGATGACAATGCCTGCTGTGCTCAATTTTTGCAACCGTTGCGGGATGTTGCAAGGCAAGCTGCCGAACTCCGAGCCTGTCACAAGGCCCAAGGCCGTGGAGGTCAGCATGAAGCGGCCAAGCCAAAGCTGCCACGGCTCCCTCCGATAGACCCTTCATGACCTCAACTTTCCACTGTCAGCATGGGTTCCCAAAGCCTCAATCATTTTTTAGGCTCTGACCCAGGTGCCGAGGCCAAGTGCTGCTCCCGCAAGGGCATAGACAAGAACAGGGTGCCAGTACAGGAAACGGTTCACCAAGAACAGCATGGCCTGGTGCAGATGCGCTCGCCGCCAAAGAGTCACTGGGAAGAATTACAACGTACCCTGAATAAGCCCCGTACCATGAACAAGAGCTGCGGACCAGAAACAAGAACCAACCTCGGTCAGGTTTCACAGGCAAGCAAGCGAGTCGCTGCAAAGCTTTGAAAGTTTCATCGAAGGGGCAATCTCCATGTGAACGTCTTGGGTGAGATGGCGGTCTGGAAAGCCTGCTGCCAGGCATGAGAAAAGCTTGGCATAGCATGGGCGCCATGCAACGTCGTGCAAAGGAGCACTAGGAACCGAGCCTGCTGCTTCGCGGATACCGATGCAAACTTGCTTCGTCCGAGTTCTGAGGGGACAGTAACATGGGCTGGCCGTGTACTGACTTCAGCTCATCTATGCTTACCTGCAGAAGATGCCTTTGAGAGTTGCATCCAAGGCTCTGCCCAGAAGAGGCTGTACCTCTTGCTCGCTGTGCTCTCGTGCCTCCAGATCCATTCCCCCAACCTGCTTGTAATCTTGACAGCACAGCAAGCCTTTACGTGTGTTTTGTGCAGCACTTGGGAGAGGGCCTGGTGGCTGAGCCAGCCCAGGGCTTCAATGCAAAGAGGGGCGGCTGGCTTGAGCCGCTGATACGCAACGTGCAGAGCTAGCCTTTTGCACAAACCATTATGCATGCTGCCACCTTTGTCAGCAGGTAATGCTGTGGAAGCTCCCAGCCACCTGCCTGTATGACACCCAACTTCTCCGCTTCTCGTCAGCAAGGACAGAAATCCACCCACTTGATCGGTCTTGGAACAGTCAAGCCGCCAACACACAGCATCCCTTGCAGCCTTGCAGTCAAGCACGAGCGCCCCGCTGTTAGCCGCGAGGGGCCCAATCCTGCCAGCAAACTTCAGCGGCGCCTGCAGCACGCGTGAGCACCGAATCCTTTGCATCTTTCAGCCGCAACAGCCATTACCATATCAATCCTCAATCCTCTTGCCTCTTTCAGGCCCTTCTCAATCGCTGGTGAAGGCAAGCGGCTTCTGGAGTTTGGGCGGCTCCTGGAGTTAAGAGAGAGATTTGCCTTTTGCTTAACTGACAGCACGGGTCGTGGCGCGCATTACTACTTGAAAAAAGATTGTGCCCGTCTTTGACCGTCTGCTGCCACCGATGCCTTGGATGAGGCTACGGCTTGGTATAGCACTGGGTCTGCTCGCTTCATCTTCTCAAAGAGGCCGGCCTGCAGCACTTCCAACAGGGCCTTCTGCTGAAACGGCTCCAGCAGGAGCACTTCTCTGCCTCACGATTCTGCAACCCTTCTTGAACAAAGATAAGTCAAAGAAACCACGCTAAAATGTAGCAGTCGGCCCAGGTCTGCCTTGGCCGTGAGGTTCGCTTCATGGCTCTGGTTCGGCTACCGGAGCGCTCACGCCTGCAAGGCAAGAGGACACTTGAGCTACAGTCTAAACTCCTCGTATCCCCCTTCATAACCCCTGTAGTACTCCCCCATATATTTCCCTATATAAGGAGTTTGGAGTACATTACTCATTTGATCACCGCAAAACTCCTTCGCAGGACATTTCTCATGGGCCTGCTCCGTGTCGCTGGACGAGGCTTTGCCTCTTTGGCGTCCTTCCTGCGAGACCTCGACCGCTCACGGCCTCACATGCGGAGGAACAGGGTAGAGCTGCAATCTAAACTCCTTGAAGGGAGGGGCTCTGTAAGGGGCTTGGGGATTCTATAGTGGAGTCCACCGGGCAGTCGACACATTCAAGCGTTTTAAACCCTTCCATGCAGACCTCCCGTCACAAATGAAGCCACCAATGCCAACTAGTCTTGCGGTAGCCCAGTGCTCCACCAAGCTGAGCACACGAAATCTAGACAAATTGTACTTTGCTACAGGTGATCCTTTTGCTTCTGCCACTCCTGGCCGGCCGAATTCGGAAAGCTTCCATGTTGCTTTGATCAGCATCTGTGCTGGAAGCTGCAAAGAGCTATGAAGCAAGCAGCTACATACATTGAAAGATTCGCTAGCCATGCCTCCGACGCTTGCGAGGGTCGCGGCCAAAAAGTGCGAAGCAGGACCAAATACAGCATCCACACGCCGCACCACTTGCTGCAGCGATCCCTAAGGGATGGCTCACAACAATTTTCTTCACGACAGGGTGTGTGTAACCTAAATATGCCCATACTCCAAACGCGCCCTTATCTGGCACGTTAATGACGACATGCTGCGTGGTCACCAGACCAACGGCGGCGGAGGTCGCAGCAGCCGAAGAGACTGACGTCAAAAGCGCCACATGCCCCGTGGCTCGCCGCACTTGAAAACTCCCACCATGGCCATGTAGGCAGTCGTTCGCGAAAGTTTCACAATTATAGAATATGAGACTGTATTTCCGACATTCTGCCAGAGCTGCCTCCGCTCTGGACAGGCAGCGGTCAGCATTGCCAGGCCTCTCGTACAGCTCGTAAGGCTTCAACTGCTCATCTGAAAGAGTCTTCTGCACAACTCGTCCAGCACGGAAGGAATTCTCGATGATGGCATGCCCAGTTGCATGTCTTCCTTTGTAGATAATGTGGTGGTCATATATCTTTCCTGAGAGGCGACCGCCTTTCTTCCAAAGGTGATCCCCTGGCTGGAATGCCATGATGCACGGCTGGATCGTATTTACTCAGCTGGCTGCCGTGCCTGGATCTATGACAGTGCTACAGACAGCTCAAAGTGTTTACAGTCTGTCTCTGGCGTGCTGTCACTGATGGAAAATGTTGCCATCCCTTATCCCCCTTGCTGCTTGCAAGACACAGGCAGGAGCAGTGATACAAATTAGTGTACAGCACAAACCAAAAAAGCTGAAAGATCAAAACCGCCCTACCCCGAGACCTAGGAAGAAGGACATGTAGCACAAGTCATCCTTTCATGTTCCAATTTCTGGAGACTATGCATGCTACATCTATTTGGAAAAGGTTGCCTTTGTCTCGACCACCATGAGAAGCGTCACCTCTACGATGGTCCCCTCGCAACCTGCCAAGCTTGCAAAGGCCTTTACACAAGCAGCACCAGAACGCTGCCTCGCAGCTTTCTGCTTCTCCAAGAAACTCCTCAGGGGTTATCTATACTGATAACTGGATAACACCTACTTACTGTTTCACTGCTTTCTTGGAGCCAGACGCAGCTTTGGCAACTGCAGCACTCAGATCCCCTGATGTCAAGGGCACCACCGGCTTTTCCCTGACACCCACGTTCTGACCTCACTTCGCGCAAGGTCTGAAAAAGGAAAGGAGGCTGATCTTAGCGGGAGGACCAGTCGGATGCGAAGAGTGATCACACTGAGCATCCCCCTAGCAAAATGTGGCAGTTCTAAGAAGAGAAAAGAAACCGAAGCAGGATTCAAAACACGGCCTGAGTCAAGCCTGGTGCTCCAAGGCGCAAGAGCTGCTGCAAGGACCTTGTGCTAATCGTATCTGCCAGTGATTACCCTCCTCTTAACTAACATGGAACCTCAAACGGACGCTTTTGAAAAAGGACAATAGTCAGTCTACGTAGGTTCTCTTCTCCCGTTCCATGTTAATTTGGGAAGGGTAGGCTGTACGTCCAAAAGAGCAAGAGCTGTAGTAGGGGCCCGGCATAGCAGAGGCATGGGTCACAATTAGGCACCTTGCCTGGAGCCCCTTCTCAGCTCACCGTTGCAGCAGCCTTTGCTGCCCTTGAGCCCAGGAATCCCAACACGGTCGAAGGTAAGAGGGAAACCCCATAAAAGCCCTCTTCAGCACACTGCGATGGCACAAATGCCAATCATTCTCTCCTGGCGTTGGGAAGCGCATCGGGTCTGAACAGTAGGCCGCTCGGAAAATGGCCTGGCTGCGGCTAGACGCCGCCACTCAAACAGTTGGGGTTTGCTCAGATCAGAATCCTAGCTCTGTGTCCTTGCTGCAGCAAGTCCATGACTTATTGGTTCTGCTCTGACTCGATGCCTACGAGAGCTTTGGCTGCTTGACATACTTCTGGCATGATCACAACGCCAGCACTCACCACCCGCGTGTCCTTTCCAGCTTCCAGACCTCTCCATGCAAAGAAGTCCTAGAGCACCTCTCACCACATGCTTCGCGCATGAGAACCAAGTGCCGCGGCCTAGTAGCCCTGGACACTCCTGTCCGTTCTGTCTGGGAAGGCTTCGTCCATCCTAAGTCAACCAGTTGCATGAATTGTCCAACATTTTTGCAACATCGGTCCCCAAGTTGTCGACGCCCGATCTACCCAGTAGCGAATCGTGTCGTCAATCTGAATAAGATCCAGCTCCTCTGTTGAGAAAGTTATTGGCAAAGTATCGCAGTTGCAGATCCTGGCCTGCTGGAAGACCGTCTTGACGGACACAAGAATCTCTCGCTCCGACCGTCGAAGATCAGCCTGAGAAATGCTTAGCTTCAGTGCCACGTGTGCTGTCCGTGTCGTCTAACCGGCGAGAAAGTCAAGAGACTGCGCAGCTCCCGCAAGCTTGCTCATATTTGCAGACACACAGCAACCCGAGCAACCAGAGCGGATGCACATTTTTTCTGAATGCTCACATACGGCCTTGTCTGGTGTCGGCAAGCTCTTCTTGCCCAGCTAAACACTGTCTCATGTCCCGTCTTTTCGGGGAAGCTGACAAGCCACCTCCCAGACGAACAGTTCAACGAACGCTGCCCGATTGAGATGTCCAAGAACTCTTCGGGCTTGATGAATTCATAAAAAGGCATTATGTGCAAGGTCTTCTTGCTTGCCAGATAGTCTACAGTGCTACTTTACAACACAGCACATCCATGTGGAGATGCTGACAGCCTCCGTGTGTAATGAAGCCTAATGAAGCCTCACTTGCATTCCATGCTGCATTTGATGCACAGGCTGATATGTCCATCGGAAGTCCCTCATGTCTGGGCCTGCGGCTATTGCCTGGGACGGTGTCATTGCACGGTGCGACTGATGGAGCACACATGAAACGCAGGGAGGTGACTGCACCACTGGTGGATTTGCCCAACGGGCTGGCGGCGGACTGCCGGCCAAGCGGACAGCCGCACTGGGTGCAATGCTAGCGTGTGGCGGCGCTCTGGCAGAACAAGAGCCAGGCACACGCCCCCGCGGTGAGGAAATTGTACAAGAGCATCCAACAGGCAGTGTCAGTGTCTTTGCTTGGTTGTCTGCTCTGCCAGACTGTGGTGGAGAGATGCTCGCAGCAACGTCCGTCAGCTGCCCCAGTCTTAGCTGGGGGATCAGAACGTTGCCTGCCTGCCCCTTGACTTCGCGTCCCGCAGGAACACTGGGCGCGGCTGGCGCAGAAGTGCAGGCAGATGCTGGAACCCCACACAATCTAGCACCAGATGCACTCTGAGCACTAAGAGCCTGCTTCTGCATTTGCAGCTGCAAGACCTCAGCTTGCAGCGCATCCTTCTGCTGCTGGAGCTCAGTGGCCTCAACGCGCAGTCGGTCATTGCGGACCGACTGCGCCTCGGCAACCTCATAATGCGGTAACGTCTCAACTTTGGCCTGCAGGCTGCTGATCAGGTCCTCCAGCTGTGAAAGCCGATGTGCATCCACCTTTTGCAGACCAAAAGCAGCATCTTCCCAACTGGAGGGATCGTCCCGAAATGCTGGCTGCAAGTCCCGGTATTGCAACGCACTGTGCATGCCAGCGACTTTGTCACACAACCGTTCCACGATTCTGGTCTCAATGCTCTGGCTGGCACTTTGATGCATTGGAACTGTGGTAGCCGCACTTGCCGTCTCAGCAGAGCCCTCTCCCTCGTCTGACTGCCAATTTGCAAGGACCTGTTGAGTGGGGATGGTGCCATCATCAAATTGCAAGGCAATCTTACTGATTTCATCGCTTAACTGCTGCAGAATTTCTTCAAGTCGGTTCTTCGAACTGGGAGCTGCCCTCTGCGCTAAGAGCGCAAAGTCGAGTCCAAGCAAGTTCTTGCCCATGTCAGCTGTCGCGCTGGTCCCCTCTCTTGATGCTGCCTTGCCTGTTGGGCTTGCCTTCCGCCCACAAGATGCAGCGCCGCCAGCGCCGCTGGCACGTGCAATAGCTGCCCTGGCTCTGCCCGGCAAGGAGGTCCGCCTCCCTTGCCCTGATTTGGCCGCTTCCTCGATCTGCTGCAGATTTGCCGGATTCGCTGTGCTCACAGGCATCTGGCTCGGGCCCTTCCTTGTGCGCGGTGTGCCTACCTGTGGTCTAACAGCTTCTGTCTGTCGGAAAGTTGCCGGCCTCTCTCGCGCAACATTGTCCCTAATCTTTGGGGAAGTTGCATAGCCGCCTCTCCTGCCTAGGTTTGCAGAAGCATAGCTCCCAGACATGAGCACGCAGATCAAGAGCGACACGCCTCTCTACATTCTCTCATGCACTTGACCCTATATGTGCTGCCGACCAAAAAACCCAGGGACGAGTACAAGGTGTCACTACAAAAGATCCAAAATAAGACTGGAAACAGTCTAAAGGCGACAACTTATGCTCATCAAGTAAGGGGTGCAGATGGGAGTCGAACACTTTCGATAACTGTGAGTTACTCTAGACGGGGCGATGATAGCACCATGGTCAAAAGACCGCTGTGCAGACATAAATTCTGCGAAAACTACGTGGTCATTGCATCAAGAGCTCCCTAAAACAACAAAACTTGTTGCGTTCCATGTTGTATTGGACTCTACTGCTCAAAAACTGAAACTGTTGTGGCAGGTTGCTACGTTACATGCCACAATACGGCTGCTTCCAGCAAAGATCTCGAGCACACCTCAAGTGAACCCTGCTTGTCGCACCCTGTCCCTTGCAATGTCCTTGTCACGGTTCAATGCCTAATCTGATCTATGCACCCCGCTCCCTTAGCCACTCCCAAGGTCTATCCTACGCCAGTCAGGTATATGCCACGGTTCGGATCCCACATGCGCCTCATAACAGAATCTCTGTCTCACCCTGCCAATGATTGAGTGGACCCAGGGAAATCCTCACAACCACTAATTTGAGCTGTAGTGGTGTGCCTTTCCGTTCATGTGAACCTGGTGGCAAGGATTACATGCTCTTCTGAGCATTTCTGAGCTCTAGGCAGCAGCCTTCGCCAGGCTACTTGCAGGCACTCGGTCGGGGTCGGCTTCGTCGGCTTCCTCCAGGTCTTACAGATATAGGATGTTACAGGAATTACAGTATGATATGCGGACAGGGTGGGGGCGGCCATGTTCGACGTCTACGGGACGAATCAGGCACCACGTCTGAGCGGAAGCAACACGAAGTGCCTTGCCGACATCAGCAAAATGATAGGGAGCGTGATAACAGCCATGAGGATGATAAAAAGCGAGCGACAGCCACCGGAACAGTTGCAAGACTGGCAAAAGCGATTGTCATTGTGCTCATGGTTTGTGCAGTCCATGGAAATGACAGCAGAACGCGCAGGTGCGCAACCTGAGGTTCCTTGGAGGGTGTGAGAAGCTCTGCGCCAAGGATCGCTTCAGATTAGCCGTAGAGGAAACGCAAGACTAGGGTCATGTCAGAATGCAGGTGCTACAAATATGCTGCCCCCTGCCTGGCACACAAGTCTTTTGAGTTACGGGGCTTCAGTTGCAGGCCTCACTGCATTCACCACCCAAAAGAAGTCTGCGAGTCAGCAAGGCGCTAGGTGGGCTTACATGTCTTAGATATAAGGCGGCCTTTCTTGCTAGCACCCGTGCCTGCCGATGGTATAGCTATGTCTTTGTATTGCCGTGTTTCGAGCACAATGGTTGCCATCAGCCTTGTATCTATTTCATGAGCTGCCATTTGCGTGAGCCATATTTTTTTTCTTAATTGCTGCTGCTACCACTACAAAGGAACCTCCCATGCAGCTCTTTTTTTCCGCAGCTCAACCGATTCCATACGAGCTCTTTATGTACACATCGCGCAGCTCTGGTTTAGCGCAGCTTTAAAACTGCTGCAAGTGGAGCTTTGAGGCTTGGAAATGCAAAAGGCCAGGAGGCAAAGTCCTAAGCGCCCCTTCCTGAGCCTTCCTCTGGCGAGCCGCTGCGAGCTTGTCTGATGCAGATAGCAGATGGTCCTGCTCTGGGCCAGTCACTTCCGTATTAGTTCGTTTTCGAAAACCAGGCATGCTGTAGAATGGCCGTGGTATCTGGTCGTTGGCAGGGATCCCCAGCCAGCATGATCTTGATGAGTTCCTGAGCAAACGCGAAAACTGCGAGATGTCCTTCAAAAGATAACGCACGGCATGAGCCCCAACGACTAGGCTTCAGACCTTTGCCTCGCTTGACAGCCTGGGCGAAGGCGGGATATGCTTCAAATAACTAGCACGTCGTGTTCTCCTCAAAGGCGACTAATGGCTTGCAGCCAAAGAGCGCCTCAAACGCTTCAGATTTGTAGAATTTGCCCTTTCGCCGCATTTCTACCCCTCCGGGCGTGCAGGCATCGTCGTGAAAGGGTGGGCACTGCATCAGCATCAAGTACATCGTACAACCGAGGCGCCATATATCTGTGCCTACGGCTGGCACCCCCTTTCTATTCGTGCCCAATTCCGGGGGCATGTACCGATCAAACACTACACAAAATTGTGTCTCTGATTCTTCGTGGACGAACTCCCGGAAACAGGAACAACCAAAGTCGATCAGCTTCCTGGGCGTGCAAGTCATGCAGGAGGAGTTGAGTGCCATTGGCCCCTTGACTTGAACAAACTGAGCCGTCCGCAAGTGAGCAGTCCCGTCGTCAACATTGCCCACAACCATAGCATTCTCGGGTTTGACGTCGCAATGAATGACGTCCTTGCTATGGAGGTGCTGCAAGCCCTCCACAAGGTCACGTAGCAGCGGCCGCGCTTGATCTTCAGTCAGTTTCTTGGTGCATATGATGTCGAAGAGATCCTTACCAGCAAGGTACTCCATGAGCACAAAGATGGTCGTCTCCGACTCAATCACGCGCTCGTAACTCACTATCCTGGGATGCTTTCCAACTTGAAGGCGGTGAGCATAGAGGTCGTGCAGAATCGCGCGTCTTTGTCTTGGATTGCCCATGGTGTACATTTTTAGCGCAAACTGCTCTCCCGTTTCCAGTTCCTTGCACCTGTAAGCACAGTCGCGCCCCTCCCCAATCTTCTGACGCTTTGATGTCTCAAAGAGCAGCAGCTTGCCTTCCTCTATGGTGCCAAATGTAATCGTATCCTGAAGATGCCAAGCACGGGGGAAAATCAGCACTGCTCACTCCTACATGCTGGAGATCAGAGCCGACAAGCACATTTCTATCTATCCGTGACTTGCGCGCAACTATGCCCAAAACTTCCCTACCTACTCTCTGTACATGCTTTGCCGAACAGCAATTCTGAACTGCCAGAGTCTGCACCTTACACAGTTTGTTGCGCATAGGGTTCGCGGTGCAGATTACTTCAGGAATGCCTTCTGACATTTCGTGATTCAGTAATACCCCTTGACCCAGAAATTTGAGCACGGCCGTCTCCTAACGCGCGCCTCATGAAGGCTGGCGCCAGTCATTCTGGTGAGACCCTAAGGGGACCCGCAAGTCTCCAAAGATTTGGTGGAGTTACCAGGATTGAAATACTTCGTCGGTTGGGATACCTCCCTTCAAACAAATGTTAAACTCCACGGCCAACATCCACCATCAGCCTCAACGCCACCTTCGACTTCTAAGGGAACGCATGCTGTGCAACTGTTGCCAGATCCCTTGCGCACCTAGTCCAAATAGTGCTCCTAAATACTGGAACTGGTATACAGATGGTTATGTACTATCATTGCTGCCAAATCTTGGCACGTGTATCGTCTGCTGCCGTTCTAACACTTTCTAAGGAACCATGGAAGTAGTGTGGCTGATGTCTCAGGCCAACACATGTGTAAGCATGAGGTGGGGGGTGATACAAGTTGAACAAACCTGTGTTTTGGAAACAAACACTCAGCCCAAGCAAGTGTGATTTCAGAAACTTTCCGGAAAGCAGAACACGGATTAGAAGACTGCAAACATGAACATCAAAAGGAAGCATGTCAAGAAGACAATGACATCAGCGATGAATGCTCTAGAAAAATTGGCAACTTCTTATTTCAACAAGCACCAGACAACCAGGGCCAAGTGATTCAAAATCAAATAGTATCTGCTTCAAGGACATCAAGCCACCTGGAAAACAAGGTAGTTTCCAGAGTTGTGGGACCCAATACAAGCCCCAAAATACTACAATGGCTATCACGGAGGCTCCCAAAAAAAGGGCCCCGAATTTCTTTGAACCCTCCAAATTATAGTAGGAGCCCAACCAGCCCTAATTATATGGGGGGGCTTAGTGCAGGGAAGCTGCCAGACTGAAGCCGAGGTTGGACACGTGGCAGAAGCCTTGTTTCGTTTCAAGCTAAGTATTATAGGGATGATTTGTTTCGGCTTAGGGATGTTACCCCAAATAACGGAGCATCAAGTGGAAATTTTGAATTGAATGCTGAGCGAGCGGGCTCTGCTCCATGCGGGCGAACTGTTGGTGTGAGCACATACGTAGGCGCAAGGCTGACTACGACTCGATCCACATTGGCGTTGCCAAAAGGAAGGCTGACCAGGGTCAGGTTTAAACCGTTTGGTGTCTTCTGCTCAGGATGCTACCGTTTGAGGTGTTCTCAAACCACTTTTCCTTGCACTGTAAGCAAACCTGGCTGTCCAGCGGGACGGGCTTCGCCCCCTCATGTGGGGCGGATACTTTCCTGCGATCAGCATGTGATGCTGCGCAGCTGGAGTGTTCAAGAATCTCAAGCCAGCTGTGCTTGAGAAACATTCCTAGCTGAAGCAAAGCACTTTGGAGAGATTAGCTCTGCTAATGCCTTGCATTTTTGTTGCCTGGGGGGCCGGGCTGCAGCACTGCAGCACTTGGATCCCACTCACAAATACTGCAAAAAATCGATCAATTAACAGCTTCATCCGTTTATGGTACTTGCGGCGGTGGGCCGGATACGCCAATCCCTCCCCTGGCCTCGACTTCGCCTTCAAAGTTAACCGGCAGCTCCATTAAGGCAGGTTGGGACGCGCCCGCGCATGACACCGCACCAATGTAGGTCCCTATAACCGCGGTGACTTCCTGCCCCCTAAAAGACGGTGTAGGACAACGCTTTCGGCATTTGTAGAGCCACGCCCTTGCTGTAGGCTCTGCCACGCAAAGCAATTGCAGGAAGACAGGAGCCTGGACGAAGTCCTCACATTCTGCATCTATCATTCGCACCTGTCTGAAACTAGAAACCTGGTGCATGTCTGACTGAGAGATCCCTTCTTTTGACGAGCAGCAGCTCTAACTACAGGGAAGAAACCGCATCGCGCAACCACTCTTTTTGAGAGACTTTCCAGTCCGCACGTTCCGGCTACAGGGCACAAATTGCATTGCGCAAAGGCGCGTTACGAGAAACTGCAGGTTTGCTCTCACGCACCTGGACTCCAGTCGCGGATAAAAGCAAGCAATCTACTAATAAATAGCTTTCTCCGTCGATAGCGGAAAGATCTAGCGAGGCAGGGTTAGAGCGCGCCCGTGCTCGACCCCGTTCCGACGTAGGTTCCCGACCTCCCGCTATAAAACTGCACTGCCTGTGATGGGGAACTTGAAAACCTCAGGAAATAAAAGCCATTTGTTGAGCTCCCAGTTCGAAGCCCGAATCTCGAGAAAGCAAACTAAGTGGAACGTTGATAGTCTTGCGCCGTCACTGTTCACACTTTGTTCTTTGGAGCAATTCGCTGTCAGCCTGTTACGCAATTACAACGACTGCTCTCTTCTGCTGCGTGGAAAGCACAAAGCCTACCACTTGCCTTCAGTGGAAGGCCCGGGAATTGGGACCCGGCACACTCGATTGCAATTTCCAGAAAACAGATCCAGGGAATCAGAGCTGCCATAAATGGCTCGAAGGAACGAAAAGAAGCAGCCAGAGCTGTTCCCAGCGGTTTTATCTCCCCTACATGAATCTGCAGCCGAGCAATGGTGGCTCATCAAATGGAAAAGAATGTGGAAAATTCAATGCAAACTTGGTTTGTATAGAGAGTTAGGGTAGGGGCTAGGCACACATGTTACAACGCACTAGTGTTTGCCGTCCTGATAACTTTGCTTGGATAATGATTATAGACTGGTTTTAAGTTTACTGTTTCCCTATCAGGTTTGAAGCAATTTCTGTGCCGCACGCACAGCAAGGCCAGAAAATCCAAACCAATGCCATAATCCCTAAAATCCATAACCTAAAAGTGGCGAAAACGTATGGAACCAAAGCCTAGGCCCAAATTCTCACCCAGAATCCTTGCTGGGCGCCGTCCTCGCGGAATCGCATGCGCCCAGACCCTGTGAAGGCTTCGAGACCTGGCAAGATCCAGATTGAGGGGGGCCCTTTGGAAACTTATGGAAATATATGGGCGTTACCCAATGTTACCTTCATAACAAAATGACCTCTTCGCGGAAATCCAAAGTTCCTTTCGCGCACACCATCGCGGGCTTTCGCGGAAGCAGGTTTGAAGCAAAGACCAAGCCTCAACTCTCGAAAGAACTCTTGACCCATACCGTACCCTCAACTCCAAAACCGAAGCTGTAATACCACAAAGCATGCCCGAAAGATGAAGTGGGGTTGGAGCTTACCCAAGCCTTAGACTCCAACACCCAATTGCAGAGGCTATGTCGTCTCCCATGGCTTGCAGTACTGGGGGCTTGCTCGGCCTACGCGACCTTTC